CGAGCACACCCCAGCCAGCCGACTGGCGGCGAGTTGGGTGGCGAGCTGCAGACTGGAGACGAGGAAAGGCAAGACAGACAGGAAGAAGGAAGTGTGGAGATGCAGTGCTGGAGGGAGTGGTGGAGCGAGACCGGAAGCCCTGCACACAGGGTAGCATCCACTGCTGGAAATCTCCCTGGCACGGACCCCTGCCCACCGTGGAGCCTCCATCTCCCTGAGGGCACTGAGCGGGTTGGGGGTCTTGCTGGATGCAGATCAGTTGATCTAGAACGAAGCCCTGAGCCATGAAGGTAACCAGACAAATGGATTCCAGCTGCTCCCAGGCTCTCCCCTCAATAAGGCAGTGTATCTGCCCCGGCCCCAGCCCCAGCTTCCAGGGCATCTAGCCTGCACTCAGCCCACAATGCCCAGGGGAGAAACTAGTTAAGGAATGGCCTTCTGCAGCCTCCGCTGTTGAGCTGATGATCAGCCTTCATCTCCCATGACCTCATTTAGCCCAGAGGTGACAGGGGTAAATAACACTTTTAACACATGGTTCTTTGCATTTTAGAGAACCCTGGGCCCTTGTGGCAGTGGCGGCTTCCAGAGAGGCCAGAGTGGAGTATACCCTGGGGCATCCCCAGGACATGGTCTCCTGGCAGGATGAGTCTGGAAAACCAGTTGGCCATGCTACTTCCTGAATGAGGAATCCAGTGAGACTTGCGTCTTGGATGACATTCTGGTGTTCCCACTGGTTTTCCATCTGAATAGTGCTACCTTCATATCCACTGGAGCACACCCTTCCTGAAGTCCCCACATTCCATGCCTTTCCACTGTGCGCTCTCAGATTTCCTTCTAGTGTTCTGCCTCCCCTCCCCCTCCCCCACTTAGAGGGCTCCTTTTCTCTCCAGCAGGTAATCCCAGCCATCCTCCCCACCCCCACAGCCTGGAGCGATGGCCACTCTGCCTCACAGGGGACACTTGGATGGTTTCTGTTAGGACTTTGCCCCTTACCTTCTTGTGGAGAGTACCTGGTAGCCTAGTGTGGCCTGTCTCACTTTCCCAGGAGACATGATCCACTAACACGTGGCAGCTCTAACCCAAAGGCCCCTCAGATGTGGTACAGTAAATCTGGAGCCAGAGACGGGTCACCTCCATTAGCAGCCCCTTGGATTAGAAATTCCATGTTGGGTTTACTTAAAATGAAAGATACTTGAATCACTGAGCACCTGTGAGCCCTCAGCCTCTGTTCCACAGTGTCAGCCATCGTCTATACAGGTGGCCATTGTCATGAAATGAGAGTGATGCCCGAAGATCCCGATGATGCTTGAGCCTTTTATGTAACTTTTATTAAGTCTTTGTGTATCTCAACTCATTAATAAAAGAAGAGGAACACTTGTCTGTCTGATTTCCTCTTACTCAATTGTTCCTAAAGTGTCACTGAGAACACTGTATGTTGTCAGCGTTGTCAGTGTCTGGCCCAGAACACCACCCTCTTGCGGAGCAGACCTAAAGTAAGGAGGAGACGGCTGGTGGCTATGAGTGGTCAGAACACCACCCTCTTGCGGAGCAGACCTAAAGTAAGGAGGAG